GTCGTAAAACAGGACCGAATTTTTCTGCTCAGGTCCTCAGCAGTGCTGGTTTGCCGGATTTTCATTACATAGAGGCGTCCAGAATGTGGAATTTTTGTCGCGGATGAGAGATGAACTTTCAAGTGTGCACGAACCAGAACATGATCCGACCCCATGGACGTTACCAGTCTCTGCACCACACATCGATCTGATATCGTGAACCCAGCTGCAGTACCTTGAGCTGACTAGAATGTAGTCAATCTGACTGGCCGTATGGCCTTCGTTTGAAACCAGGTCAGCAGAGGTTTTTTGCGATGCTGGAAAAATGTGTTGGTGACAAGCAGTCGGTTTCGACCAGCGAAGTTCAGAAATCTCTCACTATTTTCACATCGGGAGCCAAGCCCAAAGCGGCCAAGAAGATGACTGCTTGTGGGGTCGCCAGGTTCAGTTCGATCATTCCAATCGCCAGCAACAATTAGCAGATCGCGGTGAGACAGTCTTTCGACAAACGCTTGCAACTGCAAATAAAACGCCTGTTTATCGCACTGTTCGGCAGCCGAAGTTGGTGCGTACACACAGACGATAGAGATGTTTTAGAAGTGACCCTTCAGTCGCACGCAGGCCATCCGGCCATTGACTAGTTCCTAAGCAAGTAGCGCGGAGTCTGCTTGTTGTGATAGGGCGATTGTCACACCGTGTCGATCAGAAGAGCCGCGCGGGCCGCTATGATACATGGTAAGGTCTCATTCGACTCCAGGTATCTTTATTCCGCGGGAGCCTGAGTCAGGAAGTCGAACTTCATACAGACAGCAAACATCCATGTTGTATTGATCAGGGCTGCGTGCGGTCAGACTTTGGGTACCGGGGTCCAGGAACGTTCGCACATTCCAGCATCCGATACCCATAGTCCGTCCCCGATTGAGTAGTCCAACTCGCATACAATTTGCCCGCACCACTGGACCAGGGTTGCGGAGCGCGTCGGTTCCCGCAGACGCCGTAGCATGAGTCGCAATACTGTGATCGGACATACTTCATGAGTTTTCTTCGGAATTTCGAATACAGACGGGTCCCCAACAGCCTCTCGGAGTGTTTGTTCGAGGTTGTTTCCTCTAGCGCCTTGGTTTAAAGCCTAACCACAGGGTAACGTTGGCAAGCAAACTTATTTGATGGCTGTTTACGATCGCCATGTCACAATGCCGTCATTGGGCTTTGCGGCCTTTTATAAGGCTCTCAGCGTGCCAGACCTCAGCCCACCGCACCCTGGTAGCAATGTCGCTGTTGGTCCGCGACTGCTTATTCGTCAGACCTGGGTCTGCTTGTTTCGCAGCTAACCCACACTGAAGGTCGTTCCACTATCTGCCACCTATGGACGCGCCGGACAGCCAGCAGCTAGGCTAACCGACAACCCGTCTTCCCGGACAACCCGTCCTCCCAGGACAACCCGACCTGTTTTAACAGTCATGTAGTATATTTACTGTTTTCGAAGCAATAAAATTCATGGAATTCTCTTACAATCAATTAAGGATGCGAGCATTGGAACAGTGTGCGTACTTTTGTCATTCTTTTATACAGGCCAGAGCTTTGACTAGTTTTCGACGGAACCTATAATAATATATTTGGTAGGAACAAACATCTCTCTGTATTATCTTTGAACTTGGAGCGTTACTTGCAAAGAAACTTACTAAATCAACTACGCTTGTCAATGCCTCATGCACAATTCGGCCGACGCACGTTTTTTCGCCCTGACACACTACCCAGTATCATTTTAAGTTTCTAGCCGCCTCTGTAATTTAGGGGTGATGTCGAAGTGTTCGTTTTTATCGTCTGTGGATTGTACTCACCCACGAATGCTTGGTACAGCCGTGACCATGACTGATCTAGCCGGCCTCGATGGTGTCGCGAATTGTAATTGTCCAAGCGTGAAGATCCGCCACAGCGGATTTGGACAACCCGACCATTTGTTTTCTATAGCGATTAAGACAAAATGCCAAAGGTCCATGAACTCCTTCCATATCTTAACGAACTGCGTCGAGTCAGGTTTTTAGTTGACCTCTATGACGCCTCCGATCGGGCAACGGCGCCAGGTCGAGAGCAAAAACACTTAGTACGTGGGACGGACGGCAAAGAACGTACTCAAACCACTTCTGTCGTCTTTCGTAGATACCCCGAGATACCCTCACGATGTTGTCGCAGCGAGCGCAGACCGTCTCACTTAAGACAGGGTTAGTGTACTTCACTTGAACGACGGTCCTCAGGTAGAGGTAGTCAAGTACCTCCAGTTTTCGGTAACCTACGCGCACAGCCCAGAATTTGCAGTCGTGGGAGAGGACTGACCGGACGGATGCACGTCACACAGGGATCTTGGCAATGGAGATGTTTCGTCGGGTCCTTTAGACTTTCTAAGGATTGTGAAAACCCTGCGTGCAATATCGGTCCGTCAGACTCTGCCCATTGAGCAGCAGCCTCCCTCCCCTCAAGCTATTTTTTACTGTTCGCTCCTTCAGGTTGACAGGTTCCGGGGTGCCTTCTCTTAGTTAGGGATACTGCTCGAAAACATTTTAGTTTTTTCCAACGTTTATGGATAAACCAACAGATTTAGCAATCCCACTCTCTCGTGACCTCACAGACTGCGTATCATCAAAACCTAAGGCTGGCAAGGCGATATTGTCGACGTAGTCAGTCGACCAGCGTCCGGGTGCAGACTCCACTATAAATCCTTGAATGGCCTTCCAGAGAATCCTTTCAGTGGCGTAGATGATCAAAATTGACGACAGGGCGCAACCTTCGCGAACGCTAGGTCGAATATCGAACGGTTTGTACAGATTGTTATGGACCAGAACTCGCGCAGTGGTAGAATGATAGTAGGTCTTGATCATAGCAAATTTTTTGTCGGCACACCGTCCAGTTCCATTATCCATCACAGAGACTCACAATGGGCAGAATCAAATGCAGCGGCAAGGTCAACAAGGCGGACGGCCGTCGGTTGACGATAGCCGGGGCGAAATTTCAGAATGCGTCTTAGTGCGAATATCTGGTCCGCCCGTCCACGCCCAGCACGGAATCCGACTTGGTTGGGCCTCGTCCAAGAACCACGCACAGCCGGGAATCGTTTTAGAATGAGTTTTATGCTTGAAAGCTCATTGGGTTGCGGCCTATTTTCGTACTTCAAATGCACATTATTTTTGGTAGAATCCGGTAACAGGTAACAGTAACAGGTAACAGGTAACAGTATTCGAATATTAATGATCCAGAGGCGCCTCCACGCGCGATGGTCTGCGACCGTAAACCAGTGACCCACTTCCTATTGTGGCAGGGCCGTATACCATTGCTGAAAGAGCCGCCTTTATGTCTAAGTGGGCTGTCGATTGAAGTTTACAGCTAACGTCTGATTCAAGGAACCACCGGGCGCATTGAATTGGCGATGAACATGCACAGACTTTTGCTTCTTTCACGAAGTCCAAGATATCCTGGCGATGTTGTTGCAGCGAGTGTGAACTGTCTTCGCTCATCTGCAACAATGCATTCTACGAGCAAAAATAGCTTGACGGCGGCAAAGCGTACGTTGGTGTCGTTAAGGCCGAGTAGCCGTCGTTTTGGCGGTAAATTCGACAGTCGAAACTACGAACAGCCGTTTTGGGGATCCCTGCTGGCAACCTTGTGCGATGAGACGGACGACGGAATACCGTCTTCTTGGATGCCAAACCGATTTTCGAACCACTTTGAGAGTTTTGTGAACTACAATTCGCTCGACTTTGGCGTAATAGTAACAGTTACGTTTCTTTGTCACGCACCCCAATGTTCCATTACCGGCGACAGCGACCTGATGAAAGGGATCGGACGCTACAAAGAACTCAATAGATGCATGGGTGGTTGAACTTCAATAATCAGAAACTAGTTAACTCATCTAGTGGAGCCGGGGCTCTAGGATGCCGTCATTACATGAGGAAAGAAGTTGGTTCGTGAATGAATTCGATAATTCTCTAAGTTGCATCATGAGTTGAGGATCTCAGCGGTTATCTATACTTAACATTGCCTCCGCTCCGAACTGCAAAGTGTAAGCGCTTTTCTGTGTCTTAGGGGTCCCATGTCTGTTAGACCGTCGTAGTTACACGGCTCCAAAGGTTGTAGCACATGGTACTTGGGAATTGGATGAGTGTATCCCAAGGTGTGTGTGTGTGGACAAGAACCCCATTTGATCAATTTTTGTAGCCTGTTTCGGCACTGCGCACTGATCTTATAGCATGCAGCAAAACTCTGATCTAACTAAAGTATGTCCAGTCGGACTGGCTGCAGGACTATCGTTGAAAAACCAGAATAGTATGTTAGTGGCTGTGCCTGAAGCACGATTTAGTGAAAGTTGTACTCAAAACACTTTCCCAGTCGTCCGGCCCACACCGGTCATTCCAGTTACAGACGATGCTTAAATCGAGTTATCACCTAATGACCTAGAATTCACCTTCTATTTCACTTCGCCTAAGATTGCACACTCAGTCCTATCATGCTTGGAGCCTATGCGGAATTCTTTAATTGGGAGGCGTTATCAACAGAGATAAGGGACCCCTGTATGGCCTATTTGCCTTCACCAGGCAATGATGCCTCGACCTTATCCCAGCCGCCTGAGATCTGAACGTTACCTGGAGGTAAAGTAGTACTGGTCGATGACGACAAATAGTCCAAAATTGACAACCCCGGTGTGGATTGTCTTTGTCGGTGGCGCCTATCCTTTACAAGTTGCTTTTCACTATACAACCGTTTTTGTGGACCACAGGCCAGGAACTCTAGTGCAGGATAGATCAGTAAACACCGCTCTCACGCAATTGCGTACCGTTTCCTATCTTTTGTTTGTTCCTCTTTACTTGTAAATACTGTCCTCTTCTGCGCGGTTACAGCTTTTTGCGATTGATTGTAACTGCAGTAAAACAATTTACACGGAATTTAATATCCTTACATCTCATGAACTTTTACTTCTTGCTACTTGTAGAATCGGCATATTGTAACCTGCAGACCTGAACTTTACCAATATGTCAGTAGACGAATCTAGGAAGGACTCAACGGCTGTGGATAGGTTCGTTTGTCTTCATTTTCTCACCGATGTTTTCCCACAGGGATCGAAAGGCAGAGCACGATGAGGCTGAAGAAGAAAGGCGACGTAAAAAGGAGCTGAAGAAAGAGGCAAAAAAGGAAAAGCACAAGAAGAAAAAGGAAAAGAAGGCAAAGAAAGAAAAGAAGAAGCACAAAAAACGGTCACACTCAAAGGAGCACAAGAAGAAGTCGGCAGAATCAGAACCACCAGAAAAAAAACCAAAACGAGAAAAAACAGCAGAAGAAAATGGCGATATTAAACTTGAAAAGCCTTTCAAAACTGAAGAACATGCAAACAAGAAATCCTCCATTGAGACGGAGTCGTCCTCTCTAAAGAATGACAAGTCAAGCAGCAAGGAGAAGACTTTGCAAGAGAAAGAAGAGGAGGAAGAACAAGTTTCCCGGGCAGATGGTGAAAAGTCCAAAGGTCCTGTCTCCTTGGAAGAACTGTTATTGAAAAAACGGGCTGCAGAAACGGAGGAGTCAAAGCCAAAGTTCGTTTCAAAGGAAGAAAGAGCTAGACTGGCGCTTCTGAAAAGAGAGGAGGAAATAAAAGAACAGCGAAGACGCGCAACCGAAGAGCTCAATAAGCAGATCGAATATTTGTCGAAAAATAAGGGTTCGTACAATGTCTTATCCATAAAGTGCTTTTTCTAGATAACATAGATAAAGCGGACTATGGGTATCGTTCTCATGACAGGTATAGACGCCGCGATGAATTAGACAGGCGGTATCCTGATAAATCGCGGACGTCCGGTGCCAACCAGTCACAGAACCTCTCCGACAAAGTCAGAGAGGAAGAAGCCATTAAGGAGAGGTATTTGGGGCAGAAGAGGTTCACAAAACGTCGTCAACGGCGGATGAATGAACGCAAATTTGTTTTTGATTGGGATGCTAACGAAGACACTAGTCAGGACTATAATCCGCTTTACAAGGACAAGCATCAAATTCAATTTTTTGGACGAGGGCACATTGGAGGTATCGACATCAAGGTATTTCATTCGTTCTGCGTACCCACCAACTTTATCACTCCTTGTTAGCAACAAAAACGCGAAATCGGAAGGTTTTATGCGAAAATGCTGGAGAGTAGACGTTCTGACACTCAAAAGGAGCAAGAATCGTATGCTAACTTATGTCCTCTCCATAACATAAATGCCCCTTAGAAAACGCCTCACCGGTCTTGCTAAACGCGAAGCCAAACAGCTATGGGACGATAGACACTGGTCCGAAAAACCTCTGGAGGAAATGACTGACCGCGACTGGAGGATTTTTCGCGAGGACTACAATATTTCAAATAAAGGTGGCAATATACCCCATCCGATTCGTTCTTGGAAGGAATCAACTATATCTCCAGAACTACTTAAGATTATAAGCAAGGTACGACTTCAGTTCAGTTTATATGTCTTCACTTAAAAGGCGGGCTACACAGAACCGACGGCTATCCAGCGTCAAGCCATACCAATAGGACTCCAGAACAGAGATATTATTGGCGTAGCCGAGACGGGTTCTGGCAAGACTCTTGCCTTCCTGGTTCCTCTCCTCACATGGATCCAGAGTTTGCCGAAACTGGAGAGACTAGAGGTTAGATGTCGTTCAGCTCACTATCCGTTCTTTTAGGATACAGAACAGGGCCCATATGCCCTAATATTGGCCCCGACTCGCGAATTGGCTCAGCAGATTGAAGAGGAGTCGGTGAAATTTGGCAGTCCCCTGGGAATCAAAACATTGGCTGTAATTGGTGGTCTTTCGCGTGAAGATCAGGCACTCAAACTCCGAATGGGCGCGGAGATTATCATCGGAACGCCCGGCCGCATGAACGATGTTTTGGAGAACCGATATATTGTCCTCAACCAGTGTACATATCTCGTTCTTGATGAGGTGATTTACTGTTGGTCTATTGCCTGTAATGCACTCGTTAATAGTGCCAATCTTTTGCATTACTCAACTCCACACTTGACTTTGATTGTCTCCCCTTTTAGGCTGACAAAATGATCGACATGGGGTTCGAACCAGAGGTGAACAGCATCTTGACCTACCTCCCCGTCACTAACCAGAAGCCAGACACCGAGGAGGCTGAGGATAATACCAAGCTACTGGCAAACTTTTCGAGCAAGCAAAAGTACCGCCAGACAGTCATGTTTACGGCAACAATGCCACCGGCTGTAGAACGTCTTGCGCGGTCCTATCTGCGTCGGCCGGCAATCGTGTACGTGGGTACGGCAGGCAAACCCACGGAACGCGTGGAACAAATTGTGTACATGGTCCAGGAACAAGGCAAAAGGTTAGCCTCCGACTTTGTGGTCTCTCCTTCTCCTATTGGCACTTCTAGTCACTGCAAGCGAAAAGGTAACCGACAACTCTGCGACAGTCTCCTCGAGGTTTCTTTTATCGATATTTCGGCAGAATCTCGGCCCCCACCCATTTTAATTTACTGGCTTCCATCTGGGAGGTGAAACTTCCCCCAGCCAAATCGATTTTTGGGGCAGATGATAGGATACAAGAATCGGTCTTCACAACTTTCTTAGACCTCGTAAAGGTCTTCTACCGGGATGAACTTTAAGAAATCACAATTGAGCTTTGATTTTCTCGAGGGTCCTCACTGACGGCCAGACATGGTGTCACACGTCACGGTTCACGAATTAATCTCAGAACCATTTGTCCTGGGAGGGGGATAAATCAGGATTGCATACTTGTCCCTAACTTCCTAGGGTCCGTGCCCTCCGCGGTAATCGTCGAGGCCTATCTTTCGGAGTTGTCCAGAATTTTCGGTTGAAAATCTCTAAACAACCTTCGCTCCTCCAAGTACTTTTCATTACACATCGCAACTGGAACGGACATGCAGGACAACCTGAACTTTCTGACCCTGGACGCGCCAACGCCCGATTAAACCTAAACAAGGAGAACAAGTTGTCACACGTCAACCGGCACCAACCGAGGAAAGTACTAGTTGTATGGTCGCTCCGGATAATCTTTCCAACCTTGGGGACACCATCGCCATAAGCATCAAAGTCGAGGAGGAATTTTTAACCCAGATCTTCAAGGCCAGCCCGGAACTAATTGTGCCCTCTTCACCTATGAAACCGCTTCAATCCCTGAATTTACAGAACTGCAGAATTTGACTCAACAGTGAATAACTTACGCCGACTTGCCTACCCCTATGGTAGTTGCCTTTCGGACGTGGTGTTTGATGAATGGAGCATCCGATATTGCAGCCGCAGAACCCGGATTCGCACACGCTGCTTTATTCTTCCAATTTCCACTCCTCGCCGTCTGCCTGGACTTGCCCCCACATGCTCGACACGTATGACTACTGTTTGCAGCCCATTGGTAAGACGCAGTGGTGACTGGCGCCTAGATTTGTTAATGCTGAAGTGAACTTGGTGTGCTGCACTCACCTCTTCGAAACCCTTGCCGTGTGTTAGGGCTAGGGCAAAGTCAAGATGTGACACAAAGTGGGCACGGGCGCGGAGATTCACAAGGCCAGATATCTCGTCTAGGGGTGTCACACACGCGACCTGACTCCACACGTGCCAGGCTTCATGGAGTGGGGCCTTTAGTCTCACCCAAGTTAGAGTTCCATAAAATTCACATTAGGAGTCACTGTAATCTTGTTCGCAGTCCTGAGTATAACCAAGCTATTCCGTCAATTTGCAATTCTACAAGTGTTAGAGCATTATGATGGGTAGTAGTGAGGAGCAGAGCGCCGAGACTGAACTGACTCTACACTACTCTCTCTTCCACTAATGGCCTACCTGAGTTGGGCCAGCTTGGAAGGAGATTAAGCGCATCGGTTGGCCTGAAGTGGAATCACCGCCCAACGCATGCAGCACGTATATGACCAAAATGGCTTTTGTAGCGGCCGAATGTATACGGACGGTAAGCTTGAACGATGGGTGAGATTTTGGCGACCGTTGTCATATATGCACCTATAACCGAATAACCACACACGATAGCCGGATGTGTGTGTATGATATAGGCAGGGAAGGCGTGCGCGCAATGAATTCGCGGGTGTCAGACCGGACCGATGCGTGATTGGAATATTCAACCGCAGTGGGGATGTTTTGATATTGTGTCTGCACTGCCGGTGGCTGTTTTCTTTTTCATGACGTTTGTCTCATTCCGGTGACCAGGAAAGCGCTCAACTTGTGCAAATCGACACAGGAGTGTGATGTTACGGTGAAGTCAAGGGAGATAAATGGCGATACTAGTAGTGTCACTCTACACGGGCTAGACAGGTTGTGCTACGATTGCAGCGAATTCGAAGGTATTCAACGAGTCCGGTCCGAGTCTTGAACAGGCTTTAACAATGAGGGCATTTCGGCCTATGCTGGTTTTCTGCATTTCAACCTTGCTCGCCTGCTGTCTCATCTTAGCCTCTATTCGGTTGAACTCGAAAATGAATGCTCTGGTTTTTACTACGTCCACTTAGTCATTGATTGATTTGGAACACTAGGGAGGTCTTCAACAGATCCCTTTATTGTCGTTTTAGCACGTTTTGCCTGCAAGTGCTAATAACGGCGCACTCACTTCTGAATCTCTTCGGATTGCACTCGTCAATCATCCTCGAGACGTGATCGGTCCACCGTAGTTCATTCTGCCTCAGTACTCCGTAGATGCTTGCGGGGGTGTCTCTGGAAGAAGGACGTAGTTGGAAGTAGGTTAGATTTCTTGTTTGGCCTTCATGGGTTGTCAAGGTTTCCGCACCGTAAATGACATAAGGATGGCAGTCCTGCATATTCCGATTTTATTGCCGTGGATGGTTCCACGATGATTTCAGACTGAGTCTTGTAGCCTGCCAAAGCCATGGATTTCTTTGAAGATAAGTTCTGGGAACTTTGTCGTCGATTTTTATGGCGCAATAGGTGCTACGGTCAGGGCAGGAGAATAGGTCTACCGCTGCAAGGCGGTTGCTATTGACAGTTACTGTATTTTGGATGCATTCGACAGTGGGCGCTGATTGGTCCATGCTGACCATTTTCTGCGTGCTGATACCTAGTTCGAAGTTTGCGCATCTGGTAACGAGAAGATCCAGACCTCGCTGAATGTGCATTCATTCAACGCATCTTCGCCGATGGAAAGTAGGTCTTGTAATCTGACCTTAAAGATTCTTATGATGTTCTGGATATTGTAGTTTTCCATCGGTTAGGTTGGCCTATCCTGCCGGTAGCCTTTAATTAGCATTACGGCCATCTTGACGCTAGTATTCGTGTACGAGGGTGAGTGGGGGGGGGCAGACTTTTCGTTTTGAACACAATGTATTACATCAAAACTGATAGGGAGGACTTGGTAGACGGCTCATTTTCTGTCAAAATACCCAGCACCGTCTTCAGGGTGTACGAGCTGGGTGCGTAAATTCCTAAGCTACCTGCATCTGATAAGGAGCACAGGTGCATTTTCCAGGCGGGACAGTTCGCCGCGTGTTTCGGTTTTCAACCAGGCGGCCATAGCGTTGGGAATACTTGTCGCTCCCTGAGTCCACACCGATGTAATTGACTTCGCAGACCAAACTAACTTCGTCCACAGAGAATTGTTTCACCATACTTCCTGCATAGGTACTAGTCAAAAACCCTGAAACGTGTTTTGCCGGTGTTTATGTGGAAGTATGACGCAAATGCTAGGGATTCGGCTCTTTTGCCTTTACTCCAGTGTACCCCACATTGTTTCTGGCGTGACTCCAGCCGGCAGTTTGCGCCTAATGAGTACTGCATGAATTGCTGCACGGAACTTCAGGCGCCTGCTTGCGCCAGCTAAAATCTTACCAGCCTCCTCACATTATTCATGCACGAATTTCTTGAATTTTTGCAGGAAGAAACTGTTGAGCATCCTCGAAGAGGGAATCGACCCCCCTGTTATCATCTTCGTCAACCAGAAGAAGGGTGCGGATGTACTCGCCAAAGGCTTGGAGAAGCTCGGACACTCGGCCGTCGTTCTTCATGGTGGAAAGGGTCAGGAGCAGCGAGAATACGCCCTTGCCAGTCTTAAGAGCGGCCAGAAGGAGATACTTGTAGCCACCGACGTGGCAGGCCGTGGTATAGACATCAAGGACGTCTCCATGGTGATAAACTACGACATGGCCAAAACCATAGATGGTAATTTTCTTTTTTTCAGTCCTCTTCAAACGGATTTCTCCGGTTCTCACATTCATACTTTTAATGCGGTGCTCATTGAGCCTAGGGTTATCACGTGATTCGAGCCGTAGTTCACCAGTTAGTTTCGTTTGAACCGAAGTAGACTACTGCAAGGGAGTCCATCAGTCACTGTCGAATGTTTTGCAAAAGGTGAAGCGTGTGCGACTTCTGCATGACATATCTTTGTCCTCAGAACTACATGGTGCTGCCCATTACACGGCAAGAAAAATGCAGTCTTGTCGCATTTCCAAAAATATGACAAGGTGGACAGGTACTGCGGTCTGTATTTTTGGCCCTCACCTCAGCGGTCTTATCCACCGTAGCCCTTTACGTAGAAGCGCCAGACGCAATTTAGATTTCGAGGTCTGGTTCTCAGTGGTTTGTACAAATCCAGTGATTAACACAGTTTGGTCATGCATACTTTGCGAATATAGACGCTCTCAACGGCGTCCGCTTAACGACAAATCACTTTCCCTCACAGACTACGTACATCGTATTGGTCGAACTGGGCGTGCCGGCAAATCTGGCACCGCCATCACCTTCCTAACAAAGGACGACACTGCCGTCTACTACGATCTCAAACAGCTGCTACTCCAGTCCCCAGTTTCCAAGTGTCCCGCCGAACTTGCCAACCACCCGGATGCTCAGGTGAAACCGGGCGCCTTTGCGCCGAAGAAGAGGCGGAACGATGAAACGGTGTACATTACATGAGACGGTTGTCTTCGCCACCTGTCCTGTGCATAGACATGTTTTTTTTATCGTGCGCAAGCCCGCACTGCGCTGTATTCTACTGCTTTCTGACAAGCTTCCTAATGCAGTTAAGGCACTTTTTTACCAGTTCCGTATTTCTCTCTGGCATGTGCCCTGGGCTAGAGGAAGACGGCATGCATCCCAAATTAGCACTGGTAAAAGTAGGGGGAACTGTATGGGTCACTTTCGACTTGTTCGTTCCCTTCAGCCAGCCTTATCGAAGACCGGAAATCGCAACTCAAACCCATGCGGCAATTAAGCCGTCGGCTGATCCTCTGTCGATTGCGATCAAGAATATTGATCCAAGCATCCATCGACTTGGCCTAACTCCAAGGTGGGAGAGGGGCGTCCCGTTTTGCCGTGAATTCTCAGCCTCCTCCAACCTTCCCAGCTGTTGAACTAGAGCAAAACGGGTGTCGCATTGACTCCTTGGTATACGTTAGTTGGACTGCGCCACATCCGTCTCCGTCTGTAACCGCTGGATTACATGGTAGGCGAAGGCCCATGCTACGCCAGCCACTGAACCCTATCTCATTGCCAGCCGGCCAACAGTTTAGGACAAACCACTGGCTCATGAAACCGATCTCTATCTACCTCCATGGAAATCAAACACACAGTTTTCTTACTACGGTCAAGCTAGCATGATTGAGCCGCAGTCTGACGGAGAGCTTCGATTGTCCTCCGAGCCGAGCATTAGGCTGTGATGACCTTACTGTAGTCTTTATGGCACCCACCTATGTGAGATACCTGGCTCCCTCCGCGAAACCCGGTTCGCGCGACGTCCAGGGTTCGGATTGTGGGTGGTACGCGTAGACGGGCTTCTATACCTATTTACAGTTGTCTTTTTCCTGTTGTCGGAACATGGTGGGTATGGGAAGAAATGCCGGGGTAGATGTTGAAGTCTGCTCTAGTGTAGACGGATTCGCGCGTGTGACTCCACTGCGCCCTACAGGGTAGTGATGGATCTCTGTCGGTCAAACCCTCGGAAGTGTAGTCTAAAGCCCTCCCAGGCAACTCCAATTTGTCGGTATTAATTCCAGACAAATAAGACATCATTCGAGACAAAGACGAGAGTTAGGTGTGTAAGAACGAACGCATACTTAACTTTATTGCTTTTGCATACAGACCTGTCAACAGAAAGGTGAGACCGGATTCGAACTGGCAAGATGGGCAACCGAGGACGGGGAGGAGTACACCAAAATAACTCAGCATGAAAGACGATAAATACTGCTAAAATGTTTGTACACGTACTTTTTGTACATCAATGCTTTAGCGGAGGGCCAATTGCAAAAATTAAGGAAACAGTGAGTGTGGTTGGAGCCAGATTTTGTAACAGGCAGGTAGCCATAGAGTGAAGTCGAAGCAAAATCTGTTAAACTGGCTAAAACATAAAGGGATGGAAATCAGAGGTGCTCGTGTGGTAGGGGAGTCCGCCGAGGATAACAGGTGTGGTTTATTGGGAGGGCAAGAAGGTTGGTCACTGAGGATGTGTACATGGAGGCGTATTGACCTAATCGCTGGGAGAAATAGGAGGGGTTGTGGAATGATCGAAAAATGCTGCCAAAGTGCTCGTTGAAGCAGACCTTGGTCAGGAGGCGCAGATGGTCGCGTTCCTTGCGCCAGTCCTCGAGGATGGCCTGTCCTTCCGCTGTGACGACCAACTACAACACCGAACAGGGTCATATTGCATCATAAAGTGTGTGAATTAAGCTGAATGTTAAATTTCTGGTACGTCTTCCCGTATTTTGTTCCTCGTAAAAGAGCCCTTCTGCAACGCAGTTAGCAGAGCAATCCCACAGCCTCTCGATATTACATCCTTATCTTTCAATGTTTCCTAAACCCAACGGACCATACCAGAGATGACATGTACACCAGAAACAGTTCGCCATAACCATCACAAGTTCGCAGCCTGGGAAACCTCGCGCTGCGAGCCCCTGGAACACAAATAGTGATTTGGGACCCCAGCGCCTCATCCAAAAACCACATGGTAGCAGAGGGAATTGTATTTACGAGAATTCAGGGCGCCCTTATAATTTAGCAACATACTGTATTCTGAAAGTTGAGTTCTCACAGCCATGTCATCCAACAGCACAAAGACCGGCAAAATACGTCCTGGCATTCGACTGTCAGTCTCAAAGAAGACCATATGTATGCTTATACGGCAGCTAAGATTGCTCATTCTGACTGTAGTATGTTATTACCGACAAGTGAGACTGGAATAGCCATTTCTGGCTTATTAGCCGTCGTCTGCCAGTCATACCCAACCCCGAGGTGTGGAACAGTGCAGATGGTATTTGATGCTGAAGCGTTCTCGTGAACCACAAGTAAAAGCCGACTACGAAGAGCAACCAAACTGTGACCCTGAACTGCAATGCATCCTCACTGGCGTGGCCACATTTGTGTTAATCAAGAATCGATGGTCAAACAAAGCAAGTTTTAAATGTCTGCCGTAGCTTATGCTTCATTTAGCAGATTCACGTAGCCAGTATTCTGAATTTGGCCGCTCACCGCCAGGCGGTCATCGCGGTGGTACCACAAGTGAGGAAGGTTAGTACATTCATAACGAGTCGCACTTTTAGCTGCTTTTGTGAGGGAGATGGTATGTCCCTTCTTTCTAGCCCGAACGATCAGTTTGGTCTATTTGGCCTGGGCTTTGTCCCTAGGCAATAAGGACGATTGGATTGGAGACAGACATGTGAATCACCTGTCGGCGGGGAGCATAGCCTTGTTATGAAAACGGAAAGGTGTTTCGAGCACAAGCGACTTACTTGGTTATTGAGGAGCAAGTCCTCCAGTAGCGACAGTCGGCGCAGATTACAGCGGTAGACCTCAGTGTTAGTAATGTCGATCTCATATTCCAGTTCGGGAATGACAGCCGCAGTTGCCCAGCCCCACTGATTTGAGACGTCCTATCGGACAGAAGAAGAAGACATGAAGTGGTTAAGAAACTAGAGACGGGGAATACCACTGTCTCGCGAGGTCCCTCTGTCTTACCGCCAACAGAAGCCGATCTCGCTTAGCTTATGAGTGAATGTTATCTTTCAAAATGAATTTGGAGCCGGACACCAGTCATCGTGTCGGTAGGCGGCTGTTTTTGAACAGGAGCTACGTGGAGTCGCGGAGGTCTCCGCAATCAGATGAAACGCATCCAACTTGTCACCTTCCGGGGCGCAATAGCCCATTCTCCAGATGAGCGGTTGTGTTTGACTTCTAGTGACCTGTTCGGAGGCTGCATATGCAGCTGAGTAGGTGCCAAAGTGCCGGCATCGCTAGCTCAAACTGACCAAAAGAAATAGACGCCCCCGAGCTGGGCGACTAAGCAACCAAATGTTGTGTAATCAGCATCCTAAGGAGTCCCGACAGCGCGAATATTATGTGCAAATATGCGGTGACACGACAGTGCTGGCTACGGAGTCTTTAACTGAAATCTGCAGGCTGGTTATTCGCAGCCGCTTCCACTACTCTTTGACTCGATTAAGCTTCCCAAGTGCACACTTTCGGGTGTCATAACTGTCTCGACTACTAGTAAACATTTTGCCAGTCGTCCTTGCGGGTATTCCTGCCAGGAGTCTTAAGCAATCCTAGAGACATGAACTACTGCAAGCTTTCGACTGTAGATAGATCGGTTTTGTGACGCGAAGACAGGGGAGAGTTCCACAGTTCAGTCTTAGGAAGACCCGTGCGTACAGACAGGTTCAGGGGTTCTAGGCAGAGTACTCTTCTGTGGGCAGGAAGACACTCAGAGTGAGGAGGCTAAGGCAGAAATCTCCGCGCACTCACCGCAAGATCGTAATATACGTGGTCGCCGAAGAAGAGTACACGCTGGAAGGGCCACTTTGTAAACCGCCTTAGCATGTCCAAGTTGCCCTAAAATGCACAACGAGCACACAGGCTTGGAGGTTTAGAACATACAAATAACAAGGGCACAGTGGACAGCTACTGAAAATGTAATGCAGTCTGAGGTGGGCAACCGCGAGTGTTATTTAATGTTTTAGCCAATGATGAAAACAGGGAAAAGGAGCTACGTAATTGGTTCGGACTGCAGTAGCAGTCTTACTCATCTGCGAGTAAAACCAGGTGTAGTGACTGGTCGAAATATAACTCTCGAATACAGTAACTGACGAGAAAGAGACGATCGGGCAGAACAAGAGCTATGCCACACATCACAACTTTTTATTCAAGGGAGCAGTAGCTCGAATTTCAAGCACGTTGGCGCAGACGCTGCCTTCAATGCCCGGGAGAAAGGGGGACTAACGGTCCGCACACAGCATGAAGGAGGTTTAGAGCAGGGGTTAAGGGTTATGGTTATGGGTTAGGGCAACTATTTCTCAACCATTCAAAGTACAACAGCACATTCCCAATAGCTTTTCTTTTGCATACAGCTACTTGACATCATCGCTTGTGCATTCCCCGGCCCCACCCCCATTACCACCGGTCTCTTATTAGAGGCGACTGGGGTTTGTTTACTTCAGATGGAGCTACATAACCACATCCGACCAATGCTTCCTACTGGAAACTAAGGAAAAAGGAGCAGACTACAACTTACACCGAGGTAAAATTGGCCTTTTTCGAACTTCGAGACACCTTCCCAACTCCTAAATGCTCCGCACTCGTCAACAGCCCGGAACGCTCTGCAGAAAAAGGATGTGGATGCGCATGAAGAAGCTTAAAGTTAACTGACAGATGACAATTGCGGGCAGGGGAGATTAGAATGAGTAATAGCATAATAAAAGGAAATGGTATGATCACACTTTACAAATAATGGGCGGGCAGAAGTGTAGGCAGGCCCCCCCCCTCCCAGTTTCGTTCCTCATTTAAAAAAACGTGCAAATAAGGACCCATAAACTCACTTTCCTGGCACAAGGTTTCTTGCTTTCTCCCAAGGCTCCTTCTATCATAAATATATGCAGCTCTGAGTAGTAGACTGCACAGCTGACCGTAAAATCGCTCGGAGCCGGGAG